TAGAAAGTTTAATATGGAAATGTGAAAACTCTGCATTGAGCAAGTGTAAAAAGCTCTAACATTGAAATAGCTGATAGATATTCTATCTTCCAGTATACTCATATGAGCAGAGATATAGAATTTCAAGCCGAAACATTAGGATACTAGTAATCTGTTCTGTTCCATTTGTTTACTCCTGGACTATTTATGAAGTTTGGGGCGTGGTTTACTCCAATTATACATAGCCAATTAGATGCATGCTAAATTATCAACTAGGTCATATTACTAAGCATGTTCTGAGTAAACAAATGAATTGGATAATCTTCCATTAAGTATGCCATAGAAAGGTTAATTGAGTAAAAGTTGAATAATATTTTTATAATATTTAGATTTTCATAATCTTCACATCTGAAATTATTAACAGAATAACATGTTTTTGCCAAAATTTTATTACATGATAAATCCAAACAGTTTCGGAAAAGTTTGGGAAGAGTTATCATTACATTGCATCCCATGTAATTATATTTTCAATATAGGAAATAAAATAAATCAGACTGAGATTTTAATGATTTATCTATAATAACAATACAAAGCGATACAATACAATCTTAGTTGCAAGTGGTGTTCCCGGTTGAGCACTGAATACCACATCTGACACTGAAGTAAAACACTGATTTCAATGTCTGAATCAGAGCTTTCAAAGCATTTAGGAATCAGCTGTTATTCATGACAAAAACTGTTAACATGAATTTTTTGAAATGTTGCTTTATTTCATGGTCTTTATTGCATTTCTCCATTTTCCAAGTCAACTGATTTTCATTTATACTGGAACTTAGGTGGGAAGTGAACTTCTTCATTATACTTTTCCATGTAAACATCTGTTGTGAGTTTGCCATCAATCTTGGCCAAACTGTCAGAAAAATCTAACAATTCCTCAACAGTCATGATGTCAGCATTTGCTTTGCTGAAGACAACTGCGGATTTGTTCAATAATTCTTTCTTGCCCAACCCAAGGGCTTCCAGATCATCAAATGCAGCAATGGCATCATGCCTCTTAAATTGTCTGCTGTATGATGATAGGAATCGTGAAAGATATACTGTTTTTCCTGGATATGTTATAACCTTCAACTTAGAAATATGAACATGTTCACATTGACTTTATTTCAACTAACACCTATGATATATGGATGAATCAAAGTTTGAATATGTTTATATTTCACTGTAACTCCAACTGGCTCTGTATTGGCCATGTTAATTAATATTCATTATCTTGAACAGTATTTAATTTCTTCTTAATGAGCAGATATCACTTTGGGGAGAGAATGCACATGAAACAGCATCTCATTAACAACATATGATACGATGAAGCAAAGCATGGGGGCTACATACAACTCTCCCACTTCAAAAGAGAGAGTTCTTAATAAAAAATAAATAAAGTAATGAAAGTAATTAAAACTATATTTCAGCACGTTCATAATAAAAGATTTAAAGTTCTTGCACCAATCTTAAGCTGACTCCAATAGTGTACACATTATATTGCACATTATATTTGCTATTGAGTAACCATCTAAATAGTTTACTATTACAAAGATTGTGTATATCATATAATAATATTAATTATTAACATTGCACAATCCACATTGCAACAATATTCATATTTCAACAATGTTAAGGTTATATTAGATTCTAAAAGTATAAACCATATTGCAACAATCTGCACATTGCAACATTGCTAACATTGTTAAGATTGTTTGCCATTCTGAGAGAAGTATAAAACAGATTGCAACAATCCAGATTGCAGATTGCACACATTGCAACAATCTGCACATTGCAACATTGCTAAGATTGTTGCCATTCTGAGAGGAGATGTATAAACAGATTGTACAATCCAGATTGCAGATTGCAACAATGTTATGTTTCAAATTGTCAGATTGCAACAATCCAGATTGCAGATTGCAACAATGTTAAAGGAATATTCCTTGCCAAACCATCTCTCTCCTCATATGGTAGCTATAACCATATATATGCTTGCCATGTTTAACAAAACACGCAAAAATGTTTTGATATGGTCAAATTAGATCACTTAGAAATGTGATGCTCAATTCCAGTAAGCTGCCATCTTTTAAAATTTCACACAGGAAGTGATGTCATCGACTCTCAACTTTGCATATAGCATTAGGTGAGGAGCTATTAAGAATTACAAAACCAGCTAAATATTCTTTTTCAACTTTGTATCTTATTTAATCCTTCTGAAAATCTCTTCTTTTATTCTAAGTTGACAAGCCCTGAAAATATTTTTGCACAGAAAGTAATGATCACTTGTCTAGAAGTGATTTTGTGCTACTTTCCTATACTGTTATAGGCAAGGTTATAGAAGTTGAGAGTTGATGACATCACTTCCTGCAAGAAATCTTAAAAGATGGCAGCTCACTGGAAATAAGCACTAGATTTTAAAATGATCAATATTGACCATATTAAAACCTTTTCCCATGTTTTGCTAAATATGGAAACTATATATATGATTATAGCTACCATATCAAGAGAGAAAGGGTCTGGGAAGGAATATTCCTTTAACTTTCACATTGTTAGATTGCAACAATCCAGATTGCACATTGTTTTTGGGTACCTACTGGCCATGATTGTTCATTATAACCTATGGAAATCCTTGTATGGAAATATTATATAGTTTCGAAAGAAAATATGACTCTTGCGTTGTCTGAGATCGGCAAAAATAGCTTCTATAATATTTTCTTTTTGGACACCCTGTAGGTCGAAGCTGAAGGTCGAAGGTGCAGGTCAAAGGGTTTTTATAACATTTCGAATTAATAGGTCTGTCATGCCAACGAATGTCTTTATTTAATACCCCTCCCCCAACACCCCACTTCACATTTTGACAATTCCATATCCAAGGTCACGATAAATATTTCTTATTACATGTATTTAGTGGACTACGTAGTAGACACAAAACCCAGGGAAAATATTTCTTGTGATTCATACAAAAATGACATTCAGCGCACCTACTCATTTTTAGACGGCCGTCAATCAAATTGCACAAGGTGGATTTTAATTGCACACGGTAGGATTTTAGATATTATTTAGAACAAGACATGTGCAAAATTTAAACACTCTCCTCAATAACCAGACTTCCTGAATACAATTTTACTTACCATATTTGTATTTTTCCCATTTTCCAATTCAAAATAACAGTTATTTACCTATCCGTTAATTAAAGGGCGGCCTGTAAAATAACTGATAATGCGTTAATTTAAAGATCATCCGTTAATTGACCAATATGACTACACCGATTAATATCCCCGTTAAATCCCAATGTTTTCTCATACACCTTATTGAAGTAATCTAAACCGGGATCTGATTGTGTACTAAGCCCTTGGGGAGGTCGCATCATTTTAGGTGACCTGCTTGGCTTTACTGTACCTAAATTTTTACGGGTTTCATAACCCGAAGTTTCATTACCCACCGTTTCAATAGTGGATTCAGGATTCTTACCCTCAGGAGTGTTAAAAGGGGTCTTGCTTTCCGACCTTTTCGGATTGAAAGCTACTTCGCCATCATTATAATTTTCAACTCCACCCTTTGCCCCACCGTTCATATCCACTTCATCCCCCGTATCAATGGTAATCGAGACATCGTCATTTTTCCTGACTCCGTCCATTTCTGGTCTTTCTGCCATTTTGTTTTTCAAACGATTAGCAAACTCATTTTCACTAGCTAATTACTTCAACACGTGAATTTGATGGATTCAAAATCAAATATAAACACTAGAAATCACTATACTACACCAAATCACAATTCATTCTATATACAGTATCTATTTAGGTGCATGGGCACTGGTGCCCATTATCCAGTTGAGCGAAACACGGAGGACAACATTCATCATCATTTTTCCATCTAACGATACAGGGAAAGCAAGTGGTTATTTCTTCCTCAGGGTACCAGGTAAAATCATTTTTTAAAACAGATTTACAAGTATCGCAAATCTCATGACCACATGGCAGTTTAATGAGACCATCTTCTAAAACAACATTTGCATCTATACAACATGTTCAAAGTGTTGTTTATCAGGCCCACTTAGTTTAACAGTTAGAGTCTAGCTCTATCAAGCAGCAGAGCATTCTGCCATTGTTTACACCATTAGCAAGCAGTGGTTTAGTTATGCTGAGAAATGGACATTTAGTAATTAACCGATTGTACTTAATCTCTCATAGCACAAAAAGTAGAGCAGTAACAGCTATAATTCTTTCAAAAATATAAAGAATGAACAATACTTTATTATTGGGACTAGTTTAGAAAGGTTTAATGTTTTAGAAGTTTGGTAAATCCATGACATTCCATTCCCAGTAACATTGCAATACATTGACTGATTTTCACCAATTTTCATTGGATTATCATAAAATACATATTAATTAACTTTACCTATTACAGATTTTTCTATGGATTTCAGAATCATTTAATTCAATCTTTCTACTTTACAAATATATAAATTATGTGACTGGCTAAGTCTTATGAACCTTAGAAAATTAGATATACAACAAGCCACTCTTTTCACTTTACTTTAAAAAGTAAACCTAAGCTAGCTATGTCTGCAAGATACTGTGTAGCCCATTAATAAAATGTAAGAAAAATATTGTTTCAGTGTATTGCATAGCAGCAGTAAAACATATTTTAGATAAGATATGATTTTACTTTAGACATAAAAAAAAGTACCAACTTATATTGGGGACAAAAACATCTGAATACTTTTTGAGATGAAAAAACAAATGTTAAAAATAAGTTTTGACAGCCTGAATTACCTGGTTGAGATTGTATTACTCTTGCACTTAAACAGCTGGCTCAATTTGAATAACATCTAAGGTCAATGTTTTAAAGTGTTACTCACCAGGTATATCATTATTTGTAATATAATTCACTAAATATCTTTATCTTTGTTTAATTGTTTTTTTCATTTCCTTGGTAGTACGGTATTCACACGAAGCTCTGGGCTTATACACGAAAAATGTTCCTTCATAGTCATCATTAATCGTTTGCTCTCATTTCGCATATGAGCCATGTTTGTTTCAATTCTTTTGAACTCCCTGTGAATACCTTCACCTCCTTGCTCGCCATGTAAACCCATTTGGAATTCCTTGGATGACATCCACTGGCATATGTGTGCCTCCAAAAAGTGGTGCTTTGGAAGAACTTTATTAGGAAAATGGGTTCTGTAGAAAGACATATATATATCTATATTCTCATGAATAATATCAATGTCCTTTTCAGTGACAGGTTCGCATTTCAAAACTTTGGAATGGATATTGTAGAATAATGTGTTAAGTTCCTCATATTTCTCCTTTATCGCATTTGCTTTCAAGTTTAGCTTCTTACTCCCTGACAATTCTGATACTTCCTCAATGAAACTGGTGAATATATCATTCCTTGTTCTTTCACTTAAGTACTTATGACAATGGTTGCCAATAAAACTGTTGCTATGGTATGACTGTTTGGTTATATTATGTCGAAGCAGGACCTTTTCAATGTGTTCAGTTATTTTCGCGAGTTTTTTAATGTCTGTCTGGACTTCATTTTTTTGTTTTTCTGTAAGGTCATGCGATTCTTTTAATTCGTTCGAAAGGAATCCTCTCTTAGCCAAACTTGTATAATAGTTTCTTAGTTCACTGACATGTGTTTGGAACTTGGAATTATCCAGGGGAATATTTGACTTGGCCATATTGGTAGCAATTTTTTCATTTTCATCAATTTCATGATATTCATCTTCTAACATATCATGATGATGTTTGATGATTCCTGAAAGGATATGTAAATACAGGGGGCAAACATCTTCAACTTCAATTTCCCAAAGTGGTAAATGAATCACATTATTGTACAGTGAAGCATGTGTCATACGACCATGTCCATATTTCCAAAATTTATTGTAATCTCTTTTGAGAGTAGCTAAAGTTCCAAGTGGAATGTTAATTTCAATATTTCCTCAAGGGTGATAGACTAGAATTGTCAATAGTGCACCAAAGGCAAAAATGTTTACCACAGGCACCAGATAAACCATACATTGACGCCAAAAATGCATAGTCACCAAACATTGTTAATATAATTTTCTTTCCTCTCCACTTCAGTTTTTTTTAATTGTCTATTTTAGTTTTATACAATGAAGCAATGATCTCTAAATTAGAGTATATGTCTTTTGCATTTATGCAAGAAAAAACAAGGGTGTTGAACTTTGAATTTGGTGATTCAACGTTGCAAATTTGCAGACAGAGTTTAAAAGACCCTTGGCCATGGTCCCCACCAACCTTGACCATTACCTGATCGGTCTTCATGCCATCCTTCCAAATTAATATGCCATTGTCGTCATATCTGTCTAACAGATTAGTCGTCGGGTTGCAAAAGTTCTCAACGTGGACAATTGGCGCATTTACAGACTTGAATCCACCTACACTTGAAGCTGAATCATCCTTCTTTCTGATTTGTATTTTCCTGGACTGCAGAAAGTCAGTTATTAGATCAGCTCGAAGTGATCTGACTTTCTGCTCACCTTCAATCTGAACACCTTCTTCTTTTAAAATCCTTCGCATTATTCTTTTTTTGTTCCAAGACAAAGAAAGAGAATTTTTTAAAAGCAATCCCACTTTTTTTAGAAACATATGTTTTTGAACACCTCGCCTTGTTTTTCGGTCCATTGACTCTATTTCTGCAGCATGTAATTCATCAAGTTTACCCCCTGATGTTTTCATTTTCATTAATTTGACACTTTATATTCTCCTATTTTGCGCGGATTTAGATGGTTTATCACTGCGGGGACAAGATACCTTTTGCATGACTATTGGTTGCCCACCTGTTTTACAGACAATTAGATTATGATCCTTTTGTATTTCACTAAATTTTAATTTTCTTTTAGTAAGATGTGTGTAAACCTTTTCTTCTGTAATGTCAAGGGGTGATGTTATTGATTGGTTCAGGGAATTGTCAAGTGCATTTTTAGGTGTTTTCTCAACTTTCCGATCTTTTGGTGTTGGAAAATGCTGGATTGGTGAAGTACCAATGCTTATCATTTCATGTCCATGAGATGTTCCAGGTTGAGGGCTTGATTGCATAACAGGTATATACTTAGGTTTCCTCATTAGTTTCGGGTTTCCTTGTGGTCTTTTCTGATTTTCATATCTTTCACAAACTGTACATTTTTCACAATGTTGAGTATACTCAAATAATACTACATTCTTGGGGTTCTTCAGATATTTCAGATTTTTTATTGTTCTGTAACATATGTCATTGGTAGGGTGCACACTTTTTGAGTCATTTTTAACATTTACGTCATAACAGGAGTTTATTTCTCCAACATAATCTATGCAGTATTTAGGTTTTACCCTTTTATCAATCTGAGCACGTGTCTGAGCCCTGTTGCCACATATTCTGCACATGTTGTTCAGGTATTTCTCATGTTCAAATAAGGAATCCATCTTGGAAATGTATTTCACAGAAATAAGTACTCCATATAAAACGTTCAAATCGTACTGTTAATGTTTCTTAGCCAGTAAATCTGTCTCTGCTATATTGTTATTTATGAATCCAACTTCATGGACATATTTGATTTATAAATATCCATAATAGGTAAAGTATTTTAATTCCTTGTACAAAATCATGAAAAATCAGTTCACAAACATTTATCCCCTATCAACTTTAAACTGTTCTTCCTGGAATTTTACTTCACTATCTGAGATATAACAACTTGGGAATGTTGAAGCAGAGATGAAATTACTGGAAAATGACAAATTGGGCTAAACAAGAGTTGTGATATATGGCCTAAATACAATTTTATAAACTGACCGAATAAAGAAATGCAGAAACAAGGAAGCAATCTCAGCTGATCTTCTTAGTAAGTGAAGATGTTGCTATAGAAATACATTAATCATTGTTGGACAGCTAAGTGAGCCAGTAGGATAGCATAAGCAATACTGTGTGTTACAAGTCGAGTATACACATCAATAAATAATAAACACAACTGTAAAACGTTCTTAGACAATGATAGCTTCGAAAATCCAGGCAAATTCCCTAAATATATCTTCGACGTCTAAATCAACATGATAAAGACACTCATGAGAACCGTTCATGTATTCCTCGATTGTGTCAAATATTTCTGCGCATAGGAAACAACATTTGTCACAGCAGTCCGTACAAATTAGACCTTCATCTAGTACTCTACAAATGCCAAATTTGTCTATGTTATCACTTAGTATTGTCTTGCAGTTAATGCACCCATCATGGTTGCAAGCTTCTTTCAATACTTCAAGTGCATTAAGTTCTCCACAGTTAAAGCAATGGTACATTTCGATGAGTTGACATGTCAGAACTTCAAATTGTTATTAAAATGCTATGGTCCCTTATAAAATTACCCTTAGAAATTGTCAGGGTACTGTATTTATTCAAGGGGAACTATGTCTGGGTTTACCATTACCAGCTCGCATTCAAAGTAATTCCAAAACTCGATAAAGTCATCACAATGGTACTCATTAAACAAATCAGTTTCATTCTTGAAACAAGCGCCACATTCAAAACAGGTGCTCTCAAGACAGCTTACACATGGGGGTTCAGTTTTGCAAATATCATCTCTTGCTGTTAAATATGGGATTAAATCGTCTTCAACAACATCCATGCACTCATGGCATGCACTATGCCCACAAGCAAATTCTACATAAGCTGAAGCCTCCAAATCTCCACAATTAAAACAATGGCCCATGCTCTATTTTTGTAAATTCAGTAAAGGCTTGCACTGCAGACTTATTGCAGAATGCAGACAATTTGCAGACTACGCAGAATGCAGATTTTGCATTTTTCAGGTCAAATGCGCTCTCAATAATTATTTTTGACATTATTTTGCAGAATGCAGACTACTGAATTTGCAGAATGCAGACTTAAAATATAATCAATACATGAACACACAAACAGGGTAGATCAGAACAACCTTAATCTCGCAGAAAGCAGACTACAGACTTTGCAGAATGCAGAGTTGATGAAAGAACATAATCACATACATCAATAAACATCAGATCAGATCATCAAAACAATTTTAATCTCGTAGAATGCAGACAACAGAATTTGCAGAATGCAGACTGATTAAAAATGCAGACACAATCAAAACTGTTCTGTGAATCAGCAGAACTCAACAGCCAAAAAAACAATCAACCTTAAGGTGTAAATCCCACCGCTGCCACCAATGAAGCCTTTTTGTGGTTCTTTCACTTAACTTTTAAAGGTTAATGTGTTTTAAATGACTCCCTGTAAAATAAAAGACAAACTTGTTCAAGTATACTCATATAATTCTCTATATTTACATCTTATATGTTACAATCAATCTCTTCACATAAAAACTCAACTTGATTCTCCCTTAACCCAGGCTGCTCCCACTTAAATACCAAGGCAATTAAAATAAGATAGCCAATGAGCTAAGAGTAGGAGGAGCTATATCCCTTATATAGAAATCAAAGTTAAGTGGCACTTTAAAGTATGACTCATCAACATTATGGGTGACCTGAGCCTTTAAACTCTACAGTTTATACAAAGTCCTTGATTAAGTAACCCACAAAAGATTGAATTTGTTTGACAGTTCTTTGCACAGGCCACCCAACAATGGATTCAGTTTTCTTTGGATCAATTCGCACCCGTTGTTCAGAGACAATATGACCTAGATATGACATCTCATTTTGGAACAGATTACATTTTTTGGGAAAAGCTTCAAACTTGCCCCCCTCAATCTGTCAAATATACTCCCTAATTTATCCAAATGACTCTGAACATCCTTGCTGAATTCAACAATATCATCCAGGTAGACCAAACAAGACTTTTGTGAAAGTCAAGCAAGGACACACTCCATCAAACGCTGAAAAGTTGCTGGTGCATTAGCCAGACCAAAAGGCATAACTGTAAATTCAAACAGACCACGTTCTTTTCAGCTTCAGCGCTTTAAAGTGATATTTGCCAAAATCCAGATGAGTGATCAAGAATTCTGATGGCGCTTAGGACAATTTTTCATGATATGTTCAGAGGATTTAGAGGCTGCAAAGCCTGAAATTATAGAATTTCTCCATTTTCTCTTCGATAGTTTTCATTCTGGTTTCCATCTCAGAATATGACATCTTGTTCACCGCGTAATTTGTATTAACTAATAGAGTGGAATTGTCATTCAGTTCAGATGCCATGCATTTGGCACACCCTTTTTGGAAAAGATTCTAGGCATGTTAATTAGAACTTGTGAGTCTGTAAAATGTACCTACCAAAAAGTAAACTCATCATCAAGAAAAATGTTTTGATTATTACACATCATAAGTGATCTCTATTCAATAGCACTTGACTTAGTGTTGGATGATAAATCTGTATCAAGAAATGATACATATTGCTATGCTAATGAACAAGACCCAAGTTATGGGTGTGGGAGGGGGGGGGGGGGTAAAAAATTGCCCCCTCACTTGTGACCATTGCTATGTAAACATTTCGATAGCACAGTATGTGGTATTCCATTCATCCGTCAACAGGAAAAGTGATATGTATAAGTCGCATTATTTTATAGATGTCACTTATAATCATTACACATCATAAGTGATCTCTATTCAATAGCACTTGACTTAGTGTTGGATGATAAATCTGTATCCCTCATTCACAGCAAATATGCTTGAACTGTAAGCATTCATATAGTGTCCTATTTCCCCTTCTCCAAAACTAATAAAACATTTAACAAAACAGATGATTGAAATGAAGAAATAGTATGACGTATATTTCTTGAAAAGTAGCATGGCACAATCATGAACAGTCAGTGAAAAACACTTTACATAATAAAACAGGCACCTACCATTCATGGCAGAGTATATCAAGAAAATGAGTTTATTAAATAACATATATACATCACTGATAGCTATCAAAACTAGAAACATCCCCATATTTCTTAAATTTAGACTCTATATCAGAAACTGAAGCGCTACCTAAATGGTTGGAAAAAGAACCCGAAACCACACCTAAATCTGTTAATATATTTGCTCTTGTATATCTCTCTGAACTTTTCTCCGTAAACCAACCCACATATTTCAAGACATCTGATGGTGTTGCTGCCGCACCTGACAACATGTAAGAAATGGCACACCCCCCTCGAATACTGTGCGGCGTTTCCCCCTCATCCATTGATAAAGATCTCAAGTAATACTTCAGTCTGTCATAAATTGCCGAATAACTGACATGATCCAGCGAAACCACTTCACGTTCAGTAATGGTCCTAAAAAGGTACCCTGTGTCTCGAAAAACACCCAAGCCTTTCATTGTCGAAAAATAAAGTTGCAACCCCCGAACAGGGCAGATGACATGATCCTCACAAGGTTTCAATGCGAAACAATTAACCTTCCCATCACCCCTTAATGTTTTCCCAAAGGAATGAGAAAGCAAAACCCCATCATCCCCCGGCAATTGTTTGACCTCTTGCAATTTAGTAAGGGTCAAATCACCAGCCCTATCACCCCCAAAAACTTAATCTTAAAGAATGCCTGGTCACGAGCAAATATAAATCTGTCCCTAGAGGAAATACTCAGGTCATCAAGACGGCTACGGATAAATATGGAGAGTAGCCTAAGCTTTCTAACAAACAAAGGTTTCGATTGTTTTGGCAGAACATGGCTAGAAGCCTGCTCCTCCTTGATAGCCTTGAGGAACAATCTGACCTCTGGAGCACATGCAGGATTACCCGTATTGTCATGAGGGAACCAAATCCTACCCTTCCCAATAAATTCGTAAACGCTCTTTAGATGTTGTATAATTCCAGCAACTGTCCCTGAAGCCGACCTCCTCGGACAAAGACAACGTTGTAAACCAGTCTTTCCCATATTTGGACACAATAGAACATGAACCTGTGTCTTACCACATGAGTCCTTAAAAACCAGGTATTTTCGAATATCTTCCGGAGTACCATCTCCAATTACGGGGGAATGCGGCAATTGTTTCAAAAATCTTTTGAAATCATCCCTAACGGAGGAATTCCTTTTTGGTTGGAACACATCCCCTTTCCGGGCCAAATGGACCATGTACACAATATGTCTTGACAGCAGAGGCCACCAGATCAGCGCTGGTGACAGTAATGGAACAATCATGGTAATTGCTTTAATCTTCTGTTCAGAGAAAAGATTCAGCAAAGGCAGAACAAGGCAAATGGGGGGAAAGACTATATATGGGTTGGCCTCATTGGAAATATCACGGGAAAAAACATTCAAACCCGCCGAACCAGGTGCAGGAAAACGGGAAAAGAATTTCAAAGGAAGTCCGTCCGTCCCCTTCATAATATTAGCAGGTGATGCCATAAGATCAACAGTATGAGGCCCAAATTCCCTTTCAACAGACGTCCAGAGAACTTGTGAAAGCATGCTATCTTGTCTGGAGAGATGCCTAGAAGGACGATCCGCTGGATTATCAGCTGATGGCACATATTCCAGGCATAGATCAATATTCCAACTGACCGTGACCCGTTTTAAAAGAGCATTCAGAGAACTGTCCCTGGAACCCTCATTCTTCCAAGAATAAACTACTGCAGTGTTGTCAACTAGTACATCCACTCTTTTATCCCGAATAGAACCACTAAGAGATTGGAGACCCTTCAACAAGGCATCTGCCTCTTTAACGTGAATTGGGCGGTCATCCCCCTCCCCCCAGTAATCACCGAAAGACTCCTTCACCGACCCCTCTGATAAAGTTGTGATACCATAACCAGATAATGATGCATCCGTTGCCATCCTGAACACAGTGTGAAATTCCCTCCTCCACGGCAAGAAACCAGTCCAACTGTCTAAGAAACGCCAATGGGAAACTTCAGAAGCCAGTGCAGTCTCTAAAAGTATACCTTTACTGTTTTTAGAAGCCTTTGAGATTGCCAGATTGACTTCCCTTATGTATAGCTTTGCCCCTGGTACCATCTGTAGAAAAGATATACATTTTCCTGCAAACCTCTGCAGCATGTGCAAAGGTACAGTATGTAGACCCAAAATGGCCTCTCTAACGCCAATGAAAGATTGTATTTTCTCATCAGGAATGTGAAAAGTCTGCAACGTAGAATCTATGTCAAAGCCAAGGAACCGTAAATTAGTTGTTGGTAGAAAACAACTCTTCTTCACATTGAGAGTGTAACCAAAATCATTCAACACACTGAGCACTACATTGACAGTAACAAAGTGAGACCTGTTTTTGGGGATAATGTACAGCCTATCATCCAAATATTGAATAGTATCAATTCCAAGCAAACGTAACGATGAAGTAGCAACCATCCAAAAGATTGATATATGTAGGGTGATGCCTTAAAACCAAAAGGAAGGGTAGTGTATGACATTACATAACCGCCAAATGCAATCCCAAAATATGTCTGATCATCAGGATGTATTTTCACATGATCGAACCGGGAGAATTCATCAGTTTTAAACATGAAAGCATCCTTCGGTGCTATCCTTGTGACATCCTTCAAAGTTTCAAGTTGAAAAGGAAGGTCTCTTACCCAAAGATTCAAGAAACGTTCATCGTGACACAAACGGGGTTTGGATGGTTCCACCGTCAGTGGCATAATAATACGTGGGAGTTGACACTGCCCTACCTTCCCCCACACCCTGATGGAGCCATTTTTAATTCTGGAAGACAAAGTATCCGCTATGAATTGAGAAAAAGGTATGCACGAGGCATGATTAGGAAAATACCTTCTGGGTGGGATGGGTGCATTAAAAGACAGGCCCTTGAAATTACCCTTGAAGTCCCTCCACAGATCAGCCACAAGGACGCCCTCCCGTATCCAAGACAATAACCGCCCAGAATCAGGACCATTGGCATGTTTAGGTATTGACTCCCTCCATTTAGTTTCACAAAAGTGTATGCCCCCCGAAACGAAATAGTCAGAATCGCGCAGCAATAAACCTTCATTGTCATCAACATGGGGAGATATCCGGAGTCCATTCACTCTCATAGTCTTCCAAGATGAGTTCTCTGTAAGATGAAGCTTTCCCGGCTCAAAATTGACATCTAACTCCCAATCAGGTAATCTGATGAACTGATGATCCTATTAACAAAAATCCAATTATTACAACTCACAAACAGAGAAACATCCCAAAGACTATGAGAATGAAATGGTACTCCGGCATCAACCCACGTGGACTAAGTCCACACTGTAAACCTAAGCTGGCAGTTCGCTTGTCAAGCTTGTTTTGATTATTTAGCCTTGTATCCAGTTCTTAGCTTTGTTTACTAGTAGGTCAAACAGCCTTCCACTGTAGAAAGTTAATGCTAAAGCCAATTTTGGTTAATTAAACCGCATTCACTTTTCATGTTATTTCATCGTTTAGACTTACTTAGAAACTATAACTTTTGCAATAACTAAAAAGAATGATCAATTAGTAATTTATAGATGTAAAAAAAGTTTACAAATTCCAATCATAATCAACCGAATTCTAACACATTCCATTGTATCTATTTTTTGTAAATGGAACACTAGTACATAATTGATTCTACTTTTTGAATCCTATAATTTTTTGATGGTTTTGTACTTAAAAGTCTCCTCTTTCTGCTCATCTAAATCAATTTTCTACATTATTTTTTTCCTTTGACATATCACTTGTTTTCTGCGAGCAACAGCTCAAAGTTGCCTATTCAAACCAATGTTAAAAATATCAATTTTGGCCAACACCTACTCAATTTAAATGCAAATATCTTCTTTAAACAAAATAATGTACACTTTTCTTGAAGTGATATTGTTTCATAATACCCCATTGTTTCTCACTGCGAAAAAAGTTCTGAAGTGAAAAAGTAGGAAAATATCAAAAATATGATGGAAAAGTGCACTCAAAAATGCAAGAAAATATTTATTTCATGTTAACTGATACCTTAAAAATAGTGACATAATGACCAAATAAATATGATTCAGCAAGTCTTTAATATCATAAGATAATAAGGTAATAAGTTTAGACAGAGAAATGTCGGTAGAAATCATAGATTTTAAGCTTACCAGACAACATGACATAGCCTACAAACACCACAGCCATATATTCTAAGACAGATTTTATTACCACTACGCATGTGCAAGAACACCAGATGTGTGATTAATGACTTTCTACCAGTGACAAGCGAACTGCCGCATTTATACTATGAAGGTTTACAGTGTCCAGCAAGGGATTAGAATCCCCAGGCAGTGACAGAATAACATTACATTCACAAATGAAATACATTATCATATAAATCATAACATAATCCTACATAAGAAGTAATTAGGCCTAGTCAAAAATGTAGCACACAATGGTCATGTACACAATATAATCAATCAAAAAAATCCAAATTAAAAAATTTTTTTTTTTTTTTTACATTCCTTTCTTGACAGAGTCCAATTTAGGACAGTCTTTCAGGTAATGAGAAGGGCTCTTGCAGAGATGGCAAGTTCCAGAGCCTGAACCTCTGCCCCGCGAGCCGTAAGGTCTCCTTTGGCCTCAACGACCCCGAAACTGGCCCTGGAACCCCCCATAACCACCATAGCCTGGGTTAGAGAAGCCCCCAAACCCCTGGTAAAAACCAGGTGGAGAATAGAAAGGCTGGAAAGGCTGGACTTGCTGTTCAACCTTAGGCTGGCTGTCGGACTTGTCCTGGCGCGCAGTACGTTTTGATTTGAGGCATTTTTGTACAGCATTGAATACCTTATCAGATGCAGAGCTCAAAGCGGCCAGGACAAGCTCCGGCACGTCCAACCTCTCAGCGTTCCTCTCCACCTGCCAGAGGAGGTCCGAGAAGAGAGGGGCATCTGCATGCCCAGTCTTATCTGACCTCTCCTTGAGGTCATCCAAAGTGGCTATTATCATAGCATTGTTCGGCTTCGCCTGTGTACAAACGTGTTTAACCTTAGTTAGAAGGGTCTCCACGGCTTCTTTGTTTCTGACCTCCTTTTCCTCCTTTAAACGCTTCTTCACCTCTTCCGCCACCTCCGAAGCCTCTTCTGTGGCCTTTCTCTTGCCCGGCTGGAAGCACATACAATGAACCAGTATAAATAACCCAAACGATCAAGCAGGAGACATCATATCCATGAGAATAATAATAAAAATAACACAAATCAATACGCCCACGAGTAATATGCTTACCGTTGCCAGAGATACATCGCCTTAGGGCACCCCTGCCCTTTTTTAGATAGTCCTCTATCCGTCCATTAGCTCTTAACAATTTCCCATACCCTCTCTGCAAACTACGCAACCTGTTTCCAACGTGCAAGTCCAACACCTTCATTGCAGTCAGAAGGGCTTCTATAGGGCCATCCCCCTGACCATACCGATCATCAGTGTTACCACCATAAAATTCGTCATTCACCTCCCCGGAGGAAGAGTTTTTATACATTTTAAGTGATTCCTCTGTACTATTGAGTGTCCCATCTAATGTAACATCCTTTCCCGAAACTGTCATCCTCCCAAAAGAGGGCAATAGGAGAACGGTAAATAACAAAGCCCATTGAAGCATAGTGTGCCCCATAATAAGAGATATCTAACTAGACAAGACAAAGTTATTCCTGCTGTTAAAGTGATACACTTTTGGAAAGTGTGGAAAGCAACGGCAGCATATAGAATACCTCTAACCAAACACATAAATTATTTAAATCCATATATAATGGGAATAAATAAATAAATCTCACCAATAACCTTTAGGTTTAACATAAACAACAACAGCGGGTACCTGATTTGAGGCATCAGGCGCAGAACTTGTGCTTGTTTCTGGCAGCAATACATCACCCCTAGCGTCAGATTTATTCGCTAGCTGAATAGCAACGTGGCACGCCAACTTTTTCCCGTCCACACCTGCGTCAACCCCCGACATCTCCAATATAGAGGCTATGGGTTCCCGTACGATCTCTAGGAACTTCTTATCCATATACGCCTCCTTTGCCTGGTCCAGAGACGCATCCTTAGTAAATCTATTAAACGGAGACACGTCCTCCCCATTGAGGGATCTGATCTGTTTGAGCAACTGGATTAGGCACTCTGGTGGAACCGTGTGCCTCCTCTTCAATATTTCAAAAGGGGTGGCCATAGTACTGTTTCTGGAAGAATGGATTATTGAAAATTTATTCATACATCAAATCAGCCAGCAACAAAGTGGTAAGTTCTAGAGGAATAAACAAACCCCTTAACATAAGACCTAATAAATCACCAAAAAGGCAAAGGTCGTATACAGGCTCCAACAATCAGCAGAGAAAGTCTCAAATTCCAAGGCCAGAAACAACCGCCTATGTATAAAAAACACAGGTCAACATAACCGACTAGTAGCAAGCGAGCCAACAAAGCCGGTGATATATACAGGCCAAAGCAAAATCCAAATATAACTCCAGTAATATTACGCCAAAAATATCTAAAAGGTCTAAAACCATTACAAATACCAAAACAATCAATAAGATACATTAAAACAACAATAGTAACATCAATGGAGTTTAAATATCCAACCACACCCTTTTGTTACTAAAAGAGATCCACCCACCACGGTCCTTGATATATAAAACCCACACCCAGGTGGTTATCAAATCCATCAGCCATGAAATATTGTCAACCAAGGCTGCTAAATCGCCCATCAGAGATAACTTTTTCAAGATCCACCAAGGATCGAAAAAACCACCACCCACCAAGGATTAGCGATCTATCACAGATATCAAAGTAAAATCCGTTTCATTGTACTTCACCAAGAAGTGCGATCCACCAATGATTACCCCCAGTACCCACCAAGGATACGGCACCCACCAAGGATGTAATATGAGATACCCACCAAGGGTATCCACCACCATTTGTCCACCAAGGACTATCATTTTCCAGTATATTACCAAGAAATAAACTATACTTACATAGAGAAGGCTGTAGCCTGTGTTGTTCAGCAGCCGTCAACAGGAAAAGTGATATGTATAAGTCCAGAGATCACGATAGTTGAAAAAACTTGTTAGCCATTGTGGCTAAATCTTCCAAAATATTTTTAGCCAACCAAAATATGAATTAGCCATTTTGAAAAACCGTAAAAAAGGGAATTCGCAATAGAGGTGTCACGGTCCAAGAAAATTTCGGTATGGTACGGAACGGTACAAATGGTCTCAACACGTTACTTTCGGGACGGGACAGAACATTAAAAATGATGAAATGTCTGATGATGACAGTTTCACTTTCAGTTTCACTTTTCAAAATCATATTCAGGAATAAAAAAACGTCCATTAAAATTGAATGTAAAGCATCTGCCGCGAATGTGATCGGCATTTCACATAGTCTGCACGGTGTAATATTACCAATTCGTTTACCTTGTGATATCGGAGTCCCAAAATACTTCCAAACTGCCGACTTTTTCGACTTAGATGCCGGCTCGATTTTTCAATTTCTTTCCTACATCCGGCATACTGATAATGCACTAGATTTGCGAACGACGATAAAGAAATTTACGAACAAGCATTACCATCTACCTGAAATCGCGGGTCCCTTAATAACACTTTTCAATGCAAAGAAGTGTAATCTAGGTACGAGGTAAGTGAAAATATTTCAGAACGAAATCGGAGGTGTTCCTCGCTATTTATACACGTTTTTATGCATTTTAGTGAAGGAATCTATGTACCGATATTAACCCTTTCTGTCCCATGTCCCGAACCGAAGCATCTGGACCGAAATTCGGTCCAATATCGGGAAACCGTGACACCTCTAATTCGCCATAACTGCGAAATACCTTTACATATTTTTCGCCAACTCTTTCGAAAATTCGCAATTGGCGAATGGCGAACGTCTACCGTGATCTCTGATAAGTCGCATTATTTTATAGATGTCACTTATAATCAAAGAAAGAGTAACAATATGAATGCCTCAGGATCACAAGCATCTTAATTTGCACATCCAAGTGCCACTTGTATTTGAAAGTAATAAGCAAATGATTCTTTTAGGCTCTACATTAATGATGACAACACATCCCTCTCTTTGAAGCTGCCTGTTTTGGGGTTATATTCCTTCACTGGTAGGGACATTTTGCTTCAGAAAGTTTTTTGCCATGGCACTTACAAGATAAACCATCAGATCCTCCTCTGCACCCTAGTGTTAGAGTTTTCTCGCCTTTGCTTCATTTTTCTTTCCCAATGCAATAGCAATAACAACATAATTTCCACCTCCAAACTTTCCTAATAACTCAGATGCGAGTCCGCCTAGTCATTAATTCGTTACCTGGCCGCTTGTGGCGCTGTCTTCTAAGGTCAGGGAATTTGCCGTGGTAAACCGTAGCCAGAAATAACTTTACATTTACATACATCATTCTAATTGGTATAGAGATCATAAGCAACCGCCATGACGACAAATTAAGAAGTTGAATTTCAATATTTATTTTTAGAATTTTTTTTGGTCCGAAAATTCATCAAAATGATTAGGTTAATACTTTGTCCCCTTTGAGTATTTTACGATAAAATTTTCACAGAAGATAGTTATAAATGTGATCTTGAAGTCAACGTACGTTCTAAGTTAAGTTCAAGTGTTCCTGGCTAATTTTTAATTAAGATCTTTATTTTAGCAACATAAGAAGTATGCCTGGTAAATACTGTGCTTATGGACTTTGCATTTCTGAGGACACGATCATGAAAATATGCCATCTGGTGATGCTCCCAGGAATGGCCTTTCCCTATCAATCCATAATCCTGTACTTTTAACTTTCACGTTACAATGTTTTTTCCCCCTCTGATATGTTTTGTATATTTTCTTGCCTTTTCTTCACCACGTTTCCTATATCGCAATGCCGCTTTGGACTCCTGGTCAAATGTAGAGGGGTTGATCAGATTCTCAACTAGACGGTCTGCAGTTTGGGTTTGGTCATTGTTTAGTGTAAATTGTCTTGAACTGACACGTTCAAAGTTTGATGCCGTAATCATATTAGATCTCATATTTCTCCATGTTTCATCATCAGATTGTTCTGTTGTCCTACTGGCAATTATTCCAACTTCCTCACGAGTAAGTTTTGCTTGCTTGATGACCTCATAATAAACACTATCGAAATCGTGTACCATATCCTGGTCAAGCTTGTTGTAAACAGCTCTCTTATGATGTCCAATACCCATTGCCACAATGTGGGAGTCTGCCTCTGGCTCTGGCTCCTCAGACGATGATGATAACTGCACACACTGAGTTCCCTTATGGAAACCTATGCTTCTATTTGTCCTTAGCTGACCCCTGCTACAGGCAGCTTCGTGTATCAGCCAGCCAAGAGTTAATGCTCAGTTTTGTTTACTGATAAGAACCACAGGCTGGTATCGAAAGATTTGTCCGCTGTGACGGAGCATGCTATTTTTCATAATAACACTGAGAATGCTTCACAATTTATTTTTTAACTCATATGTTTCGTTATATCAAATAAAATTACTTTCTCCATGCAATGGATATATCTTTTGCGGGCAACCGTCACTTCTGTTTGAAGTCCAATAACGCTAGGAGTAAAAGCTATTGAAAACGGCGCCAGAGTATCAAACTCTAAAATGTACCATTTCTTTTTTAACTTTTTAATGGCATGATTTTGTGACACGATAATATTAACATATGTTTTCAGCATAACTCTGAATGTATTAATGAGATATTAATGCATTGGGTCTTTTTAATGTTTTTATAAAAAATAATGTTAATATTTCTTGTCCGCTGTGACGGAGCATTTTCACAGTTCACATTTGCAACTGCTCCGTCACAGCGGACAGAAAAATTAAAAATTATTTTTTTTATAAAAGAATTAAAAAGACCAAATACATCAACATCTCATCTATACCTTCTAAGTTATGCTGAAACCATGTGTAAATATTATCATGTCACTATATCGTGCCAATAGAAAGTTAAACAAGAAATGGTACATTTTGAAGTATGATACTCCGGCGCCATTTTCAATAGCTTTTCTTCCCAGCGTAATTGAACTTCAAACAGAAGTGAAAGTTACCCGCAAATGATATATCCATTGCATGGAGTAAGTAATTTTCTATGGTATAACGAAACATATGAGTTAAAAAATAAATCGTGAAGTATTCTTAGTGTTCTTATGAAAAATAGCATGCCCCGTCACAGCGGACAAATATTTCGATACCAGCCCGTGAGAACCAGCATTTAAAAGTTCACTATGTTTCAGGTTTCATTGTAATTAACCGTCATTCCACTTTTTATGCTATAGAGTATGGATGTATCACAGAATATAAAATTTAAATAGAATATAAATTAAGTCAGTTCAGTTAGCTTTCCAGCCATATCAAAAATGTCAAAATCGGTGCAATACACCCTATGCATTAGGTGACAGTAGTTTGCACCCCCTTATAAAAGTCCACCGTTGAAACTGGAGTTATCTTCTTAATTAAAGAAATAACTGAAGTTTTCCCATTGATGCTGTTTATATGCAATTGTTCAGTAGTTCAATCTGAACATTATGAAATAAATACCTATTTTATTTCATTTTTTATAATGATATAGAGGACATAAATGAAAGGGACAAGTCACACTAAGAACTGAACAGTTTAGACTTTGCTTGTCCTATTAACTAATCATAACTTTATTAAAGGAGCAAATTACTCAAGATTACTTACATAATGAAGAAACCATGCATTGTTTACCTTATCTGAAGAATTTTACCTACTATACTCCAACTGTCACATGGTCATTAAATATCCTTATGTTTTGTTTTATGTCTACAATCCAATGTGTCTATTTTATAATCCTATGTAAACTATAGCAAGTTACATATCTAATACAGATTTCTCTTTTGAGAGTTTTCTGCGTTTGGGGGGATGATATGCTCTTGGAGGGATGGTCTTAGTCTCAAGTGGTGGAGCTTCATTATGGACATATACTGTTCTGTATCACTATTCATTGATGAACGTGTGTGTTCGATTCTCCCCAACTCTTTGTGAATACCTTCTACACCTTGTTCACCTAATAGGGCCATGCCATGGCCCCATTTTTCCACCCAGGGAGCAACATGATCTGAAATATTTTTCATGTCATTAGTAATTTTAATGATTTTTCCCTTTAAAAAGAAACGGAGGATTTAGCATAATTTTATAGTATTTTATTTAGTTATTCTTTAATTTTACATACCTTGTAGAAAATGTTGCTTTAGGATCACTCGGCCAGGGTATTTTATCCTGGAGTATTCCATGTAGTTATCGATTGCTTTCCAGATTTCTGGAAGTTCAGCTTTCTCAATTGGTTTTGAATGTCCTATTTTATTGTGGACATTTGCGAAAAGCGCATTCAGTTTGTTGAACTTTTTTCCTATCACCTTGACACGATTGTTCAATGTCTCGGAAGAGCTCAGTTCACATATTGTTTCCGCCAATCCTGTTGATATTTCATTTTGGATTTTTTCTTGGATATATAGATGGCAATGATTGCCAATGAAGCTGTGGTTGTGATATTTCTGCTGAATTATTCTGTTTCTTACAAGAATATTCTCAGTTACATGCTCAACTAGGTACCCCTATTTTATTTCTAGTTTTGGTTCCTTCAGCTTTTTCTTCAGGCTGCTCAGCTCTTTTTCACATTGGCTTTTTTCTTGCTTTGAAATATTTACTTCTCTATCATCATGATTTCCTCTGATTCCCATTTTTATATCGTCATCTAGTAACTCAATATTATTCTGGAGATGTCCAATTTTTGCCAACAGTGACATATATGCTGACTTGTCTTTTACATAACTATTGAACTTACTGTCATTAAGCTTTAGTGCCAGATGTGAGTTAAAAGCTAAACGATTAGCTAGCTCCAAGTCTATGTGGAAGCAATCTATCTCAAGTAAATCATGATGTTTTTTTACCACCCCAAGCAGGATATGGAGCCAAGGTGGACATACCTGAGATAATGGTGAACCTTTGCCTTCACGAAAGCGACACCCGATTCCAACAGTCCTGATGTCTCTATTTTTGTAACATGTTTGTCCATAAACAGCTTGAAGTCTTCTGCAGACTTGTAGGCTTGAAGCTGGGCTCCATTAAAATCGGCCTTAGACATCAGTAGGTAGTTTAATACATTCCATGTGCAGATCAATGGAAATGATCTAAAGTCCGTCTGCAACTGTAGCTCATCAATATTTCCTTCAAATCCTGCCTCTGCCACCCTTTTTTGAAGACAGAGTCCCTGCATTCGTCTGGCTTGTTCATATCTGAGTTTTGGGGAAAATTCTTCACAGGCTCCGCTAAAATCACAAGTTTCTGCTTGTTATATACGCTACATGGCACTCCTCTGTCAACCAAATACTTCTTCAACTCTGGCACCTTCCACGAATTGAAATTTATATCACTTTCCATTGCTAATCGCTCTGATATTTGTAGATCTCGTATGTTGATAATTTTTTTTGCATTTGTTTCAGTAAGATAAAATGGCGTAATTCCCCTGACCTGGCAGAATCTCGCATATTACGAGATACACGAGACTTCATTTTGGCGGGAACTCCTACTCGCATCTCAGTTATTCCCTAGGGACAAACTATCTATATACAGCACTTCTGATATCTTTGCAGGTGTCTCTGTCCATGTCTGCTGGATCTTAGTCTACATAGCCAAGTAAAATTTCTTGACATGTCATAGAAAAGGCAAGCACAGTTACATCAAGAATTCCTATTTCCAGCTCCTCAAAATAAAAAGGTTAAGAGAATCTGTGTAGGACCAAAGCTTTTTAAATAACTGCAAGGCTGAGGCAGGATTTCAGCATAATTGCTGAATTTCCGTGCGAGTTAAATAAATCATAAAAATGGTGACCATTTTTCAAAATGGCCAAAATGGAATTGTAGTAATATTAAAGGAATATTTATGAGGAACTTTACACCACCATCAGCTGATTATCATCTCAAAAGTCCAAAAGAGTATAATTTAAATCAACATTATTAAAAGGTGAATTTTGCTAAAAGTCAAACTGATCCCGAAACATTCTCCAAAGTTCATATTGATTAAAAGTGTTCTCACGTCAATGTCTTTAACTTTGTTGTGCAGGTTCACAGATCACATTGTGTCTCACTGTCCAAAATCAAGACCTAGACTGGCCGGACTCCCGACTGACCAGTCCCAGTCATCTGCAGCATAGTCCTTCTTGCTATCAACTACTTCCTTCTCCTTATCATCCAGGCAATTCTGGACCGAATCCAGTAACTCTTGTGCCATGCCAGACGGGTTAGACCCCTGGGTGGACCCCTTGACGACGACAGCTCCCTGGGCGATGGCGGATCCCTGCGCTGACCCCTTGTTAGGAATTGGCCTACCCTGCAAGGCATTGGTGGCGGTCAATGAGGTCCCTGGACGTTGAACGTCTATTACTGATGCCCTTGATGTAGATGGCTGCGCCGCCGCATCTACCACAGTAACTCCCCTAAGGACAGGCCGAGGACTCTTGGTGGGTGGCTCCTCACTGCCTCTGGGGAACATAGAGTGATGTATAAGGCAATGCAACCGCAGTTGTTGTATATCGTTCGTACAGAAGCGGGCTTCACAGCCCAACACCCCACAAGACTCCGTTGCCCGGTGGGCACATGCTATATGCACTTGCAGCTCCTCTTGTGTCACAAAGGCCCTCTAGCAAAAGAATGCTTTATATCTATTCCAGCCGGCTGGAGGTGAGATCTGTTCTTTGCAGTCCTGGAAGAAAACAAAGACATTTACTGGCGTCCCTGCCTTTCCACTCCTGGGCATACTTTTACCCCTGAGCGGCTCTAAAGGCACTTTTCATTACAATGGTAGTTAATATGATCAATAATAATTGTGAATATATATCTAGATTATTCCGCCTGACTCTCCTCCCAAGTGACCCTAATACGTCTCATACTTGTCTAGCCACCCTGGTTTCTTGCTTTCCCGTCCCCTTTTTCCCGTGACCTGGATAGGTTCATTGACATCTGACCTGGGAGTTTCAACATACCTAGTTGTTTCAAGTTCCGGGGCGGAGTTTTCCTTGACTTTTGAGACATACTTCTTTAATTGGTCGTGGTGAATGACTCTCTTATCTTTTTCATTAATTTTGATGAGATAACCTAGATCGTCTTATTTTTCAACGGACCATGCCATTTGAGCGCGGATTTCGGCGTTCGACCCACTTTCACAGCCGGAATATGAACCCAAACTTGCAAATATTTCTCGTATGCTTTCAGATTGGTTTTCAGATCATAACCCCTCTTTTGCCTATCACTTGCCAATTGAATATTGTTTCGGACTGCCTCGTGAATATTGAGCATCATGTCTTGCAATTGCTGACAATACTTGGTATAATATCACTATCCAACTCCCCTTGCTCAATCTCAGGAGGAGGCCCGAGTAAAAGATCAAGAAGTCCTTACCTCTCTTCCAAAATCAAAAAATTAGGGCTATAACCTGTTGACGCATGAACCGCACTGTTATAAGTGGTCACTACGAAAGGTAAACATATGTCCCAGTCCCGTTGGTCAGTCGCTACAATTTTAGATAGCATTGCCTCAACAGTGCGGTTTGACCTCTCCACCATTCCGTCAGATTGGGGGTGATACGTCGTTATTCTGGTCTTGCTCATCTTAAACATCTCACACAGCTCCCTAAACAACTTTGACTCAAAATTGCGAACCTTGATCTGAATGAATTTGCAAAGGAGATCCATACAAACAAATGAAATGTTTCAAAAAGCCCAAGCCACAGTGCTAGCTTCTTGATTTGGAACAGGACCCAAGGCCAATACCTTGGTAAAATAATCTCAATGGAAACCACATATCTATTCCTCTGTCCCCTCAGATTTATGCGTTTATGTGCCTGCAGCATAATTCCGCATAAAACTCTGACCCACATAATCCATACACTAGCACATAAAATTGCATAAAAGGCTAAAACTCCTACTTACCCGCAAAAAATGCCATCTCGGCCATTGATTTATAGATAAATAGACTAACTTGAAATGAATATGTGTCACTGGAAGTGAGTATTTCATTAAATAAAGACAAAATTGAAAGAAATGATAATTTTACGTTCATGATTATTCAGCGGAAGCTCAAAGATGTGGTGTATTTTGCGGACAACCATCCCGGACCGTACAGTTTATCTCACTGCACTTATGGTATCCGTGTCCTAGTTTAGGTCAAAATAACTTATTATAGAGTTCTATATCATATCAAAACAACAACTATGAACAGTAGGTTTGTTTTTAATCTATGAACCGCTGATATGACCATGAAACTAATGTTGTTTCTGACTACGAGTTCAACTGCAACCTTCGTCAAGTATCCTCATTTTGCCCTTTTAAAATATACTTCCAGTCACGAAATTTAAGTTACCAAAAAATTGAAAATCGACAAAATTGTGATCGAAGATAACCCAAAGGATAAGAGCCATGCTGGTTTAAAATCGTCAGTCAGACAGCATGCCTGAGACTATTAGGGTGCATTACACGAAGATGGAGCACTGGGAGCAATCATTTTATTCAATTTCCTCCTTGAACATAGTGTTAAAATCGATCGCATATTTTTACAAAATTTGATGATGAAAATCGCATCAATTTGCATAATATCAAGAATTTTAAAATTTCAGTCGCATAATTTAAGATTTTCTTTTGCATAAAACTGAGGAGACAGATTCCCTAACAAGCTTTCCGGTAATGGCCCCAAAATATCAATTGCCACCCTCTCCAAAGGAGCACCCACATTGTATTGCTTCATTTGAGTCTTGTGTTTGCAATTAGGTGGATTCCGCCTTTGACATAATTCACATCCAGCTACCCAACGAGCTACATCCACCTTGAACCCAACCCAATAGTACTTGATACGAAGCCTGCTGACCGACTTATTTACACAAAAATGACCGCTATCCAAGGCCTCATGAATGGCTTCTAGAATCTAATTTTGTAGATCTTTTGGTACAACAATTTGCCAATTAGTCACTCTCAAATCAGTGTCAACCCACTTTCTATACAACATTCCCTTCTCAAGTTTCATCTTGTCCCACTAAGCCCAGTATTGTTTCAAGGTGAGTGATTAATTTGAATTTTCAGACCACTCAGGCCTAATCTCATCCTTGAGCCATTTTACCAAAGTTGCCAAGA